TGTGTGTGTGTGTGTGTGTGTGTGTGTGTGTTTCCTATTTAGAGACCTGCGGTATTTTTGAGCCCAGGTCCAGAAGGTCCTCCCTCTATCTACGTCAGGCTTTAGAAAAATTCCACCCTTACCTTTTCACAATTAGAAAGGTTATAAATAATGTATTTGGCTGCGAAGGAAGCTCAGCCTGTGGCAGATGGCATCATTCTAGAGTGCCGGGGTTTCTGCGAAGATGGCATCCTTTCAGATCGGAACTTTAGCAGACTCCCAGAAAGCACGGAGCCCCTCCTAGGGCGTAGACATGTGCTTTACGGATCTTAGAAAAGCTTACAACGCGGCTCCCAGGACGAGCCGTGTCGTGTCACACTGGGGTTGTGAGACCCACGGCCAATGTTGCTGACTTCCAAATCCTGTTTCCCAGCACGGAAAGCCGTGGCCGATCCACTGGTCGGTTCTGTGTGTAGCATTTGAACTTGGGAATCTACGCCGACGTGAGTTCTGTCAGCCTGAGTCTGTCCTTCCCCAAATGCTCACGTGTTACCACGCACTGGCCGCCGAGTGGGAAAACTTGCGATGACAGTTGTGTCTTTCTCCGAGTGCCCTGAAGAGCTCGTATAAATAGACGTGGGAGAGGGAGGACTGGTTCTGGAATGACATAACCAGCGAGCACGGTGACTTCAGAGACATCTGTGCCATTGCATTTTGGAAAAGCTTGGGCAGGGATCTCTTGCAAACGAATGAACAAAGATTCTTGACGAGTTTTATGGTGACTGCCAAAAGTGATGATGTTAAAAGTCTCATTTAACAATGAAGCTGCCATTACCTTTAAGTTTTAAGAACGAGAGAGAGAGAGAGAGAGAGAGAGAGAGAGAGAGAGAGAGAGAGAGAGAGAGAGGTGTGTGTGTGTTTCTGGTAGTCTGCAGTAATGGCTTATTTCAGTGTCCTTTGGTTGATCAACTAATACATTCCCAGCCCTGTCTGTGATGAGTGCACACTATTTGGGGATAAGAACCAAGGCTCTGGTAGAAAACCAGCAGCAAGACAAGTGCTATTGTGGTACCGTGTGTGGGATGTTCGGAAAGTGGGGAAAGGCAGAGCAGAGATACCTGAAATACACCCTCAGGGTTGAACAGCTGTTAGCTAGAAATTAGAGAGGGCACTGGCGGACCATCCAAGTCAGAGAAGTGGTGTGTGTCCTCCTGACGTCAGCGACCAGGTGCAGGCCAACTTTAGAAGCCACCACCACATTTGAATACGGCAACAAATGGAAACACCGTTTTCCTTGGTGCTTTCCCTTGCTCCTACGTGACTTGTAACTCAGTTTAATGAGCACAACCTACGTTTTTCATAAGAAAAATGTATTTGACTTAAAATATATATTCCTTGAAATTTTACCGGGTGCCTTTGTTATTCACAGATGAGTCCTTGGACTGAGCCTACAATAAGAGCCCAATGAGGAGATGGTGGCAGAGGGTTGTAGTAATTCACACCGCTTAAGTCCAGGCTCGATATGTTCCAGACCCTGTGCTAATGATATCACATTCATTAATTTACTAATTGTCTGTCCAAGGGCAGATGAGTAATGACTTGAAGAGCCATACTTCCTAGTCACTTGTCCCATGCTTGGTACATAATAGGAGTTCAATAAATACATAGTGAATGAATGAATGAAGAAAAAATAATGCTGGAATGGAGTCTCAGAACAACCCAACGCTGCAAGTGCCACTGTCACTGCCATTTAGTAGGATGGGGAACTGTTTTAGAGGAGTTCATTTGGCTGGGGTCACACTGTAAGTGTGCAGCAGATCCTGGAGTTGAATGCAGATTTAGCTGATTCTCGTTTTTTTCATCAAAGAACACTGAGTGTGTGTTTACTACGTGCCAGGCATTTGGGCTGGAAAGTAACATGGAACCCAGGTCTGCATGGACTCACAGCCTAGGGTAATATTTTGAAACCAGTTTCTCCTTTTGATGGACACGAACCCCAAGCCCCTCTCCTGAAAATCATGGCTCTTGATGCCCCCTTTGTACATCCATCTCTGCCACCTATGGAAATACTGTCAGTCTTCAACTTTCTGTCATTTGTATTATCAAAACAGGAGGTGTTTCTTTATGACATCCCAAATTGAAAAATATGACACTGGATATGCTCTTTCAAATGCCATGGGCCCCGTAAGATCCTGAGTTCTCTTTTCCCTGGCCTTGAAACGCACTAGTGTCGTCAGATGCCGTGCCTGAGATTTCAGTAAGGGTTTTGCTAGAAGAAGGACAAAGGTGTCTTACCTGTGGCTACACGTGAACTGTACTGTATATTGTTCCAGTGAAAATTGAAGTGGCCCTGAGTTACCTGAGTTATGGAATATTTCCCAGCCCCCCAAAAAGCATAGAAAGATAGAGAATCTAAAAAGTTGTTCTGGCATACGTCATAACTTGTGGGTTAGCCTTTTGATTCTGTCCTGCTTAGGCTAATATTTACATTAGAGTCTCCTGAGCACACACCGCTCCGCAGGGTGGAACAGCATCTAGAAAGTCGCTTAAGGACAGAAGCTACCAATGCAGGGTTAAACAAGGGCAGGGGGAGGCTTTGATAATGGTGCACATATGGATATTATTTTTCACATATGGATAATAATGAACTACATAGCACTATTACATATGGGCTCTAGTGTATAAAAATATTTCAGATTTTTTTTTCCCCCTCACACTATCTCCTTTCTTTTTTTCTCCCATAGACATGTATTTCACAGTTGATATATTGAACACGTTAAATTGAAATGATCTGTTTAGCTATCTGTCTTCCTATAGGCAGAGGCTCTGTCTTGTCTGCCTAAGTACCAGCCAGGCACACAGTAGGTTTACAGCAAAGAGCAAATTTCACATATTGGCAAATTAAAGTAGACTGGATTACTTGTCAAAAACCTTAGGAAAACGTAGATATTCCAAATATTTCAGGAAAAATTAAGACATAAAGCTACATCTAAAATTGATATGTGCTATTATAGTAACATTGAAGAAACTGCCAGAAGGTCTAGGTATAAGAGTAATAATTTTTTAAAAATTGAACCAAAGTGGAAGAACATCAACTGTCATCCATTTTCAGAATCACCGTTATCCATCAGCGATCTCAATAGTTTTATTAGTGTCTGACTTTATTGATCCATTATTACGATGGAGTAAGGGTGATTGAAGCTGATGGATGGTTAACCGGATCAGGTAATCTGGCTCTGGTTCTGGCACCCTCGCTAAGTATCTTTTTGTACTCTGGACTGAGGGGAGGCTCTTAGTAAGATTGCAAGCTCCTAGATTAATGGCAGGGCATCATGAGCCCATTAAGGATGTCTTTTTAGAGAAATAAAATGAGGAAAGGACTATAAAGTAGAAAGTGTCAAAAAGAAAAAAAAAAAAAAGGATGTCACAATTTTTCTTAAGATCACCCGTGCTTTACATAAATAATGCAATCCTTGCTTATCCTCCTCACCATAAGTTCTTCAAAGATCCCCAAGATTTGCATATTACAGGAATGTGTTCCTATTATAGAATTACCACTGCTAATGGATGTTAGGAGAGTCAATAATAACCAAAAGAGCTTTAAATTAGAAGTCGCTTAAAGGAGATAATTATATAAAAATACTTTTGTTCCCAAACTGGCTTTTCTGGTTGTGCTCTGCTCCCAAACAATGCTGCCCTCTGTAAACTGTCACCAAAGACCAACTGAAGTCTGAAGTGGAAGTTCTCAGGTTTCTGCACAGAGGGGGGGATTGAAGGGGAGGGAGAGGAGTTGGTGCTGCAAAGTCTTAATTATTCCTGAGATGCAATTGGAAATTAATTTAGCTGCTACTAGAGAAGAGGGGTGGTATGGTTAAAAATAACGTGGATTAAAGTCACTGAAATTACCATAACTAAAATTTGCTGGGAAGAAAAACACTTTTCTTTGTTTGAAAATGAGTCTCACTCTCTCCCCCTTCAAACTCCTAATACATCAAAATCATGATTTCCATCTTCATTTTTCTATTAAACTGTTGGCTGTTTTCAGGATGAAGGCAAGTGACAGAATAGATCTTTTTCTTTCTTTTTTTTTGTGGTATCTTTGAGAAATTTAGTAAGCATGAAATGTATATATTTGAATGTTTGATGGTTAGTTTGAAATTCAGAACTCAAGCTTGACTGTAGATGAAGCTAGCAATACAACTGTAGAATTCCCTCCCTCACCCCCTTCTGATAGAGGATCTCTGAGTAGTTTATTTTCTCCTTAAATGTGGTCCATGTTAAGGCAGTTAATGTGCCTCCATTGGGAAACCCAATAATAGGAGTGGAAAGCAAAGCGGCGTATCCCAAACTTTAATGCACACAAAAGACCCTGGGGATCTTGGTCATATGCAGCTGCCCATTGACTGGGTCTGGGGTGGGGCTGGAGATTATGTATTTTTAATAAGCTTCTTCTAGGTGATGCTGATAGTGCTGATCCCTGGGCCATCCTTTGAGAAGCAAGGATGTAGAGTACACTCACTAATACTCAGAGTAGCTGTGCAGGGCCCTGGGGAGGGAGTGGGAGCGGAGTGGAGGGGGTCCATGGGGAGATACAGAGGGACAGCTGTAATGCTTTCAACAATAAAGACACACATTTTTTTTTTTAAAAAAACCCCTCAAAGTAGCATTTACCCATAGTCATAAAGTCATCTTCACAGAATTGGGTTTATTGGGATCAGGGTAAGTTTGTCAGCCTAGAACAGAGGACATGGATGCAAGTTCCATAAATACTAGAGCAAAGCCTGTGGGTTTGACGGGCTTTATCTTGGTCTCAGTGGGCGGTTGTTTTCTATTTAAATAAGCATTTGATGACCTACTTGATGAATTTTAAGAAGCTGAGGCTTTAGGTTAAGTGTGAAACACAAACGCATTGGCGCTCCGTTGATTTGAAAAACAAAATGCGGTTTGCACAATTGAAATCGTTTCTGTGTTCCACCGTGTGCCACTATGTGTTACAGATGTCTCCCCCCCTCTTCACACAGAGTATGATTTCTTCCATTGTGAACAGCACTTACTATGCAAATGTCTCGGCAGCAAAATGTCAAGAATTTGGAAGGTGGTACAAACATTTCAAGAAGACAAAAGATATGATGGGTAAGCAAAAACCGTTGCCTCGGTGGCTACATACCATTACATGTCATTCGGGGGGGTTTATCAAAGTCACATCTCAAGCCAGGTCTTTTGATTGCCCAATTAGAGATCAATTTAGAATGTTTCTTTGAGGGTGGGGAGTGGGTACGAGTATAATGAGATAATTAAATTCAATAAATGTTTGTGTTTAAATCAGCCAAACTGACTTGGTTGTCAGACATGCAGGAACTCGAGGGGGTGAGGAGGGAGCTGTCATTTTTTAACATCTCAGTGAAGACCTTGAATAACTAATATTAGCCGTGATTTCTCTCAGAGATAAAACATGCTTTTATGCTTTTTGCTTGTGTTCAAGATAAAGAGCCTATTTTTTTTTTACACCCAATTTTAAGGAAATTAATGGATTTCTAGTTTTCACAATTGAGATCGAGTGATTTTTTTTTTTTTTTTATTCCTAATCCCCCGCCCTGCCTGTAGATGCTTTAGTGAACATACCGCTGTACTGTCCACTGTGCAGCATCCCTGAACTTTTAATTCCAGTAGAGCATCCCATCTTAACATAGGACTTTAGGTCAATATTTGTTACTAATTAAAATTATCTGCAGTGTAAAATGACAGATAAAAGCTATGTGTTGTACCTTAAGCATTTAGATTTTGACATTTTTATCCCTATTGAGTTTGTTAGTATTTGCCAAGGCAAACACTGTGATTGAGGTTAATGTTTTAATTTCTATTAATATTTTCTTTCATATACTTGTACCCTCCAAATAATATATTTAAAATAATATGAGAATGGGATATTTAATGTGCATGGTGTTATGCCCTTTTTGACATCTATTTCTGTTTACTTCTATTATATTCATTTTATGACAACAACAGTAACTTTTCCTTAAAGATTTTAAGAGACAAGAGAACCTGAATGTTGAGCATGTTTTAGCTTTTAATATTTCAAGCGAAACCATCCATCTACCCAAACAGATTCTTTTTGCCTTTTTATAGCTTAGAGCTATAATGAAGACAATGCATCATTTTTGGAATAATTGCTTGAATTACTATTCCCCGTGAATGGCCCACTTGGGCTGACATCACTGGTAGAAATGGAAGGTTTCTTCCCCAATTCTTAGTTCTGTTCGGCGTTTAGTCAGTGATTATAGACATATAGGATACGTTCCCCTAAATATAAAACCTGAATGAATGGAGAGAGAAATGATGATTAAAGCCCAGCCACAATCTGTGCGTGGAAAGGACGGTGTGCTGTTTGGGAAGCCTCCCCTCTGTCCACACAGCATCATGCTCAGCCTTTTCAGTCAGGAGCATCACCCCAGCCTCCTGCTTGCAGCAGCAAAGCATTGGACACACTTTGAGCTCCTCCTCAGCCAGTGCAGTGCGCGTGAGAGGTCTGGCTGAGGAGGAGGAGCGTCCATCTCGGGTAGGTGGTGATAAATTGCAAAGCCATGACAGGATCACCCTTGCACCAGAACAGCTCTCCGCCCCTTCCTTGAAAGATTGTCTTGAGCATCTGGTGCTAGCCCATGGCTTCTCCGAGACACATTTGGGTCTTAGCAACCCCGGGTAGTCTGGCTTGTAATCCTATAAATCACTCGCCTCCTTCCAAGAAATGTTTGCAGAGGATGATGAGACTTAAATAAAGCGAACTGTGTTGTAAGATACTCAGCCCCGTGTTCAATATGCACTCAGTTATTATTACTTGTCATGATGACCACTTACATTATTTATTATATTGATTACTTCTTTATACTCACGTCTGGGTAAGAATTGAACGTTGACCATATTTATGTTATCTTTTTTTCTTTCAGACCTTCTGCTTAGAGTAATAAGAATTATTTATATATATAAATATCACAAGAAAGTACTTGTGTATTTCTTTTTTGTTTATTGCCTATGATGTCTTTTCTTAGCTCAACTCCTTCTTTCCAGATGCTATTAAGCAACTGTCATTCTTCTAGAAACAACCTTGGAGTAAACAATGCTCATCGGCCTCCTTGGAATAATGAGAATGAGGAACAGTTTGACCCCCAAAGCTAGCGATTATAGAACATGAAAATCATTGATTCTGTGCCTTAAGTCTAAACATGATAAAATAGATCAGAAGTATTGTCCACGTTTAACGTCTATGGAATCGTGCCGAGGAGGAAAGTAAAAAACACAGCAGGTTGAATTCTATCCTTCAGCTCTTGTTTTAATTGGACCTTTCACGAACCCTGTGCCTCTACTCTCTCTATTTAGGACGTGGTCAGAAATGCTTGCACCAACGCCCATCCTTGTGGACTTGGCTTGATTTTACCTTTTATCTGTTTCAGTCGAAATGGACAGTCTCTCTGAACTGTCCCAGCAAGGTGCCAACCATGTCAACTTCGGCCAGCAGCCGGTCCCAGGGAACACGGCCGAGCAGCCCCCGTCCCCCGCGCAGCTCTCCCATGGCGGCCAGCCCTCCGTCCGGACCCCCCTCCCGAATCTGCACCCCGGGCTCGTGTCCACGCCCATCAGCCCTCAGTTGGTCAACCAGCAGCTGGTGATGGCTCAGCTGCTGAACCAGCAGTACGCGGTGAATAGACTTCTAGCCCAGCAGTCCTTAAACCAACAATACTTGAACCACCCTCCCCCTGTCAGCAGATCTATGAATAAGCCTTTGGAGCAACAGGTTTCAACCAACACAGAGGTGTCTTCCGAAATCTACCAGTGGGTCCGCGATGAACTGAAACGGGCAGGAATCTCCCAGGCAGTATTTGCACGTGTGGCTTTTAACAGAACTCAGGTCAGTTTTGTTTATTCATTAATGATGTTTCTCCATCTTTTTCCTCTCTTCAGTGCCGTCTACACCTGATGCTTACTCTTTTACTTGGTACTAACATTTTATCCTCTTGATGCGATCGTATTGTCTGTTCCTGGAGGTGCTTAAATGTAATCATTATTTTCCTTCTTTTGAACCTCCTCTGCCAAGAGGAAGCTGTGCACAGCATGATCCGGGTTCAGGGGCCTTGAAAGAATAAATGAAATATGAAATATGTTTCACAGTGGGATTACCTGCGCTCTTACACAATGGAGTCCTAGGCAGCAGTAGCGGGTTGAGGAGATTTTCATGACTTGGCCAATGCCACTGGGAGGACTAGGATCTTTAGTATATCACCACTCATACCAGACAGCTGTCTATCCATGGGCTCTACTGAAATTCCTCTACAACTTAAAACACACACACACACACACACACACACACAAAAAAAAACCAACAAAAAAAAACCATGTTGGGACTCAATCACAATTCCTGCCATTTAATTCTAAGCAGCCATTTAGAAAAACATACATGATTTTTCAGCAGAAGGTATTTCTCTCCCCTCTTCACATTATTGTTAATGTTCCTCCCAGGCTCACTCAGAGGCCTCCGGGGTAGGTTTGAGCTGCAAGCCTCAGTCTGCCTGTCCTCGTCACGTCCACACCTTTGTCCTCCTGGGAAATTCCTCGGCAGATTTCATCCTGGAAGAAGTTTCAGAAGGACAGGGAGGAAGGGTGATATAAAAGACAGGAGTCCTAAGAGAAAAAAGTCCTAAACCAATTGATTCTATTAAGCTTGAGTGAGAGGGTTTTTCATTCCTTTTTTTGGAAACTAGTATTATGTATAAGGTATTTATTCTTGGCCCAGGCGCCCGCGCGCGCGCGCGCGCGCGCGCACACACACACACACACACACACACACACACACAAAACCTCAAAAGCACATGTAACTTTGATTAGAATGAGGACATTATGTCCTTTCAGTGTTCTTGTTTTACCACTGTTCTTCCTTTTGTCAACCTTTTTTGGGGACCTGACTCATACTTTCCTCTCATATATAAGTTATTTTGTTTATTGCATGATTATAAGAATGAAATTCTGGTACAAAAATAATCTAGTATTAATTCCTTGTTGGCAGAATGTCCATACCTAGGAGGATCCCAGCTGTGGCTTATTTTTGGCTTGCCTTAAGTTAGGAGGCCTGAGAAAGCCTGTAACTCGGTTTATTTTCGGTTTCTTCATCTGTATTTTGTACATCATTAAAAGGGTGATTGCAGAAGGTTATGTCTCAGGTTAAAATTGTATGGTTTTGCCTATTTGGATATTTTTAACAACTTGAAGCACGTGTTTTATCATTAGCTGGTAAATTTAATACGGCACCTATGTTCAGTTGGGGGGGGTGATCATTAAAAAAAAAAATGAAATAGATGAGTACATGAATCAGAAGTCAGCCATCTAGCCAGAAACTCCTGTTTCTGGCAGCATTTTTGTTTTGTTTTGTTTTGTTTTTGTAAATAGCAGTGACTGCTAGAAGTTGTCAGTACTGGGCAAAAAATAGATAGGGTTGTTGAATTGAATTAAAAGCCCACAGACAAAGAGCACATTGACGTAGACACAAATGACATGCAGATTTACAGATAAAGCATTTTTTTTTAAAAAAATGGAGCAAATGGTTATTTCTTAAAGCACCAGGGAAAGCGTGTTTCATATGGTGAAGAATGACAAGGCAGTCCAGCTGAGGGAGAAGAGGGTGAAGGTCCCGCCCCTTGGTATAGTTTTCCTTCTCTTGGGTTATGATGCGCCTGCTATTACTCTGAAGAGCTGACCATTTTTTCTGCCTTTGGTTCTAACATGGACAATGTCCACAAATACCTATAAAATTTGTTATTGTAAGGAGGGTAGAATTCTCTTTTTATGCCCTATTAATCTCTCTTGAAAAGATACACAGTGACTTTATTTTTCTGAGAGTGAGAGAATGAAAACCTGGTGCAGCATGACGCCAGTGTCTCTCTCTCTTCGTAGTAGCCAATTTAGAAAAAGTCATTCCCAGAATCTTATTTGGAGCTCAGGATGGCAGAGGGGTTTGGTTCCATACCCTTGCATCGGTGATGGGTACCCCTCCGTCCAAGAGGACGCTGGGCCCTATTAGAAGCAGTCTGATGTAACTGGGAGTCATTGTCTATGTACAGTGAAGGGTTCACTCCTTGGGAACCAGCTTTTGAACACGCAAGCAAGCATGCATGTATTTTTGGTGTCATATTTAAAAACCATCACACACATACACGCCACGCAACACTCACACAGCTGCATTTATTTTAATGATTATACATTCATATGAATGCATGTAGTGTGTTTATTTCGAAGTGTATGCGTTTCAATAAAAGCAGGTGCAGAGTGAGGGTGTATGGTGTGAGTGTGGAGTACGAAAATACGCATGCTAATGCATATGTATAGGCGGAGGAGCTCTGCAGAGCTAAATCACACATCACACATTGTGTGCACTTACTGCAACGTGCACTCATTCCAACCCCAGGTTTAAAAAATTAATGTAAAATATGTACGTACCAATGCAGTTATATGACATGATCAGATAAAGACGTTGGTACCCTGTACACAGTGTGTTAAAACATTAGTATAATAGATAATGCTGTTACGACGCGAGAAAATTTCAGTCATTGACAGCTCTGGTATAACTTTAAAATCCTGAATTTCATGTTTTAGCTCTTAATTGGAGAATTTTCTCATCATCTTAATTGGGTCTCCTAAATGAAATCATACCCCTCTCTCAAGACTTTCCCACATGACTATTTTTTTTTAAGTCTACCTTTTCTGAAAATTTATGGAGAATTTATATAATTACTTGTTTTAAGTACTTTTTTTCCCTTTTGAATTAATGGGCATATGTTCTTTAATTGCTACCGAAGACACCGGCTTTTAGCATATGTCATTCATTCAGTTATTCCTACTTGATGTCTTTTTAATGGAAACCTATGGCTAAAAATAATTGCCAAAGCTTCGAGATTTATCCTTTCCAGTTCACTTCTCTGTGTTATTGCCCTTTAAAGGTGGCAATAGAAGAAAATATATCCGTTAGTGCCTTTTAGAAATAAAACCCAGAGTTTCACTCTGATCCCACCCCGTGGCTTTTTTCCCTTTTTTTTTCTTCTACCCCCTCCTCTTATCTTTGGCACACTTTATTTTCCAGTAAAATAAAGAATGAAGATGGATTATTCAAAACTGATAACAGTAATGGACCATCATGTAATGTTTTATTGAATTTGAGTTCTGTAAATTACGTGGTGGAGAGAAATTTGCCTGCTTAAGTATAAGAGAGATGGCTGCTGTGTTTCTATAATTCTTCACAGTGTAATTTAAGCAAAGTCCACTATCCATATCACTATTGAATAAAAGGTAAAAAGGTGCTATTACCCCAACGTGACAGCTCTCCTTTAGTCTCCCCCAATGACAGAGATAAATGTGTCTGCTTATAACTTACTTGGCGGAAGTCCAGAGCAGGAAGTGGAGTTTGAAAATGGTCTTTCACCTGGGCCTGTGTTTAAAAATTCACCAGACCACAGAGGCAGGTAGCCTTGAAGAATATTCTACATATTTTCTTTTTAAAGTAGGGAGGTTTTATCAAATCATATTTTTCCTTCTGAGGCTTTGAAGTTCCATGAAACTGATAAAAATCTATTTGAATCAGTGATTATGTTCAAAGAGGAGACAAATGGGAGGCCAGACCGGCTTTTTGTTCGGATTGGCAGTCTCTTTCGCTTATCTGCTGTTTTAAAGAATTCATAATTAGCATTTGGAAGTACTGATAATATTTATTGAAGGTTTTTTTCTTTTCTTTTACAATTACTAATGAATTTTACTTGCAGTAACTTGTAAACTCTTTCTGGAATGTAAAAAAAGGTTTAGGAATTCATCAGTAAGCTTGCTCTTGAACTGAAAAAAAAAAAAAAAAGAAAGAAAATTCTTATTTAACCACCATGTAAGACAATGCAGAACCATTTTATGCTTTCATATATAGAGAACATATCGAGTTATTTGAAGATGTGAAGTCCCAATGAAAAGCAGCTTCTCATTTCCAATAGAATTAATATTCATGAGGTGCTGGTAACTTATGGCATAACATACAAATTCTCAAGTTCTTTTCAGAAACAAGAACGGCTAATGATTTTGTTTAGTTTTCTTCAACAAATTTATTGAGCACCTATGGTGCACAGTATTGAGATATTTTCGTCCTGCTGTTTCGGCATATTTGCTGAGATAGCAAATAAGGTACAGGACATTATTTTTTAGTATGAAGAAGAATTTTTGGTAAGAGATCCCTCTTACTGTCCCCCATGAGGGATTTACCACAAGTGACATTGACCTAACTTGGCAAGTCTGAACTGTATTTTTGACTATAGGCAAATGGAAATGGGCATACATCTTGAATCCATAAATGTAACTATTTCAAGCAACAACAACCTGAAAAGGACCAAACCATTCATTCCCATATCCGGATTCTTATAGCAGTCATTTTGCATCCAGAATTATTCTCACATGACATGATTATTTATTTATTTATTTTTTGGTAATTAACACATTCTAATCAAAACATTTCCTAACAATATTTTCAAGCATTTCCACCAGGGGGCACTCCCCTCATTGAAAGCCTGGGCCAAAAAAAAAAAAAAAAAAAAAAAAAAGAAAGAAAGAAAAAAAGGAAGAAGAAAGAAAGGAAAAAAAAGAAAGAAAACCCAAAAGGTTTCTAAAAACACCCAAGATGTCTGTCTACACTGGCTGGTTTAGAGCTCTGTGTGTTCCAAGGTTTGAAATAATCGCTTTAAACCTTCAACATATTACAAGCAGAAAAACTACACTTGCTCTAGCCAAATAATTAAATGGAAATAAAATGTTTTGCCCCTATAACACTTTATGCGCTCAAATGGGAAGTCATGCCAACATCAAAATATAGGTAGAGAAATTTCTAAATCCTCTCCCAAGGGACCTGCTGTCTTCTGCGTAAGCCATACAGGAATGCTTGGTGTTATGTTAGCAAGACTTGATAGAGAGTAGTAGTATGTATTTTTTCAGGTCGTTGCTTTTCTCACCACAGTTCTCTGCTGACAGAGGAAGTATTTTATAAATGTCTAATTTCAAATTCCCCAATCTGCAATATTTATAGGATTCCTTTTTTTTTTTTTTTAATTTATTGATTTTTTGCAGAGAGAAAGGGAGAGAGCTAGAGAGCTAGAAATGTCAATGAGAGAGAAACATCGACCAGCTGCCTCCTACACACCCCCTACCGGGGATGTGCCTGCAACTAAGGTACATGCCCTTGACCGAAATCGAACCCGGGACCTTTCAGTCCGCAGACTGATGCTCTACCACTGAGCAAAACCAGCTTCGGCTATAGGATTCCTCTTAATCTATGTTTGTTTGTTTTTTTAATTACTGAACATTTAGTGTAGGTCAACATCTTAACCGAGTGCCACAGTAAACATTTCATTGAAGGCTCACCTTGAGTAACTTAATAATTACCATTAGAATATACCTGTGGGTAGCATATCTAAGTTTCTGTCACCCATTTGCAATGTTATTCCTTTTGTGGTCTGAATAGACATAATTTATCCACGTAGTACATATTTATCAAACACAGAATAGGCTTTGTGCTGGAATAACAAAAATGAGTATTAGAATATTCAAGGAATTAGAACATTTTAGTTGTTAGACTGTATTTTTCTATCTCTATTTCTGTGTAGTTGATGTGTATTACTTTGCCAAGCACATCTTGTAACACATACCATTTGGTAGGGGAGAATGGAGAACATGGATTATTTTTTTTTTTTTACACCTATTTTCAGATGTTTTTAAGGCCTGTATTTTTCGGTTTTCATGTGACACATCAACACAGTCGATCTAATTAGTTGGCCTTGTGCAAATTAAATAGCTGGATGATTGACTGCCCGTTTGACTGAATTTTAGTTAAACTGGCTGGATGTTTTACTCTTGTGTAAACTCAGTTGCAGTGTTACTTGTCACTATTAGGAATGAAAGGACTACATTCCCTGCATTCTTCCCTTACGCATCTCACCGTGAAACTTAATGTTTGGGTCCAGGTTCCTGACTTCCGTTGCAGAGACCCAGGGAGAGATTAAAATGCACTCTTAAGCCCCCTGAGCCTATTAGAGGTTCTTTTTTCACGGCAGCCTGCAAATCATAATAGCGGACAGTACTTGACTATACTGTCTGCATCTGTTTGGGCTCTTTGGGCAGTATCCCTGAAGAACCAAAAACTGGGTTTGCACTCCTAGGAAACCGTGAAAAAAACGCAACTGTTATCATCTTGGGACTTACTCATTTTGACTTGGCACTTGATCTCCCCTTCCCCAAATGTATCCTTTCACCCTTTCCGCAGAGTTATTTGGAAAGTAAAATTTGCAAACTATACTGAGGTCTGGACATTTTATTCTGAGCTATATTGTATTAAACTGATTTTCTGGCTAAATGTAGATACCAAATGTGCCTTGGTATTCCAGGCATTATTTCATGTACAAGATCGAAGTGGTAAGAGCTGCTCAGCCCCTATCAAATGGTCAGAAAAATTTTCTAGTCTTTCAATGCTATATATCCCGTAAATAAAACTGGGGAAAACCACCCATTTTTTAAAGCATTCTTCCAAAAAATTAATAAAAGGGGGGGAGTGCTCTATTGTGGAAAGAAACACTTTAAAGGACTTTACTAATGGTTTGTAAGTTCCTTCTATTAGAAATACATATTTTTATTTCTCAAGAAATTTAATAGTTACAGAATTGGATAATACTCTTTTTCTGTGGCATGCTATCACAGATTTTTGAAATGTGGAGAGATGTTTATGTATTTCAGATTTAATCTTTGGTTTTTGAAGTTCAGAATTTCAACCTGTTACCAAGAGATATAGCATAGCGAGATAGTATTTAGTCATTGGGTCTGCCAGTGTAGTTTCCTTAAATGATAAATACAAAGAATCATTCGTCATTGACTCTAATAATTTTCAAATAAATAACTTAAAATACTGTCTGTGAAAACAAAGCCTTAATCTTAGATGATGCTTTTGTAAAATTCTTTTTTTTTTTTTAATTATTTAACGCTCACCAGAAGACATGCTTAGAGAGAGGAAGGGAGAGAGAGAAAGAGAAAAACATCGATGTGAGAGAGAAACATAGATCCTTTGCCTTCTATAGGTGCCCCCACTGGGGATTGAACCCGCAAATCAGATATGTGCCCTGATGATGCTCAACCAAATGAGCCACTTCTCGCTGGGCCATGGCATTCTTTTTTTCCTAATACGTTGTGGTTCATTTTTCTAGTATTTTCTTCGAAAGTTCTATTTCTCCTGAAATAGCTTTGCATCTTTACATATCAGGCTGTTGGCATTCCACTGTCTTTGTCTAGGCAGCTTGAGAACTCTGCCGTTCCATGCTGTCGTATTATGAGCATTTCATTTATTCTTAACTTCCCTCGATCGTCTCCCTCTGAAAGATTTCATGGCAAGTTAAGCTACTCAAAGGAAGGAGACCAATTAGGCAGTTTCGGTTTATGGTATATGTAAAGCAGATGCTTAATAAAATTAGGAATACAATTGAGGCTCTCTTCTCTACCACTTCAGTTGTAACTAATATATTCCTCCGCAGAATTAATGCTTCTGCCTGTTCCTTTTCTGAGCAGAGTGGAGAAGAAAAGGGAAGGGTTGCCGCTGGCCGGGCAGAGCCGGGAGCAGGCTCGCTCACCCTGTCCCTTTCATGCTTTCCCTGCAGGGCTTGCTTTCAGAGATTCTCCGAAAGGAAGAGGACCCCAAGACCGCATCCCAGTCTTTGCTGGTAAATCTTCGGGCTATGCAGAATTTCTTGCAGTTACCGGAAGCTGAAAGAGACCGAATTTACCAGGATGAAAGGGAAAGGAGCTTGAATGCCGCCTCGGCCATGGGTCCTGCCCCCCTGATAAGCACACCGCCCAGCCGCCCTCCCCAGGTGAATTCTGCTGCTTCTCCTTATGCCTTTCCCTTTGGCTTTTTTTTTTTTTTTTTTTTTTTTTAATGCCTGATGAAGAATCTCAACAAGGAATTAGAAAGATAGGTGGACAGATTTAAACACACACACACATGCCTAGAGTGGCTTGGGGAAATTTTTGACCCCAAGCACTACTTATGGTATAAAAACAATAAGCTACTAATTAAGGGGAAAGAAACTTGCCTCGTATTGCTTCTTCCTTGGGGTTCTTTGAGGGATGAGAAGTAGTCTGTAAATGAAATATTTATCTCTATAACTATTATGTAAAGAGGTATTCTAAGCTTAATTGGGGCGGGGGGGGGGAGGGGTTGGGGGGAAGGGGAAAATAATACAGTCCATTTTATTCCCAGCAAGTGTTAGAACTGCCATTGGAATGGTAAATAAATATAAATAAATAAATAATTCTATTTGTATTTATGCTTTCCGATACGAAATGCAGCTGGTGCCAATTACACAGCATCTCGTTTGTAATCTTTCATAATTAAGTTTAATACAATCCTGGAAGGCAGCTTTAAATGGAGCTGATGAGGAATTCCATGCGTATTCCCAGAAATGGGCACATTTTCTGTTTTCCAAAATTTTACATTTTTTAGGAAAGACCAAGGTCACTCTTCCAGGTAACTTTGTGTATGTGCATCTATGCTGTTTGTTTTTTAACCAAGTTTAAAAGGTAGCCTCATAACTATTATGAAAATTCAAGTTAATATTAAATACCAGCTATTAGATACAAGTTTTATAGTGGATTAGATTTATAATCCACAAGCAAATTTATTTCACATATAATTTCTGGCATGTACAGTTCTTAAAAATAAGATCAATAAAACTGGATAAAAATTGAATATGGAAGAGAAATTTAAAGTATTTATATAACCTCATGTCAGAATGAAATTAAACCTTGATGATCATTTCTTTTCATTAATAGTAAAAAGTAATACATTTCCAAGTGTAGAATTATAGAAAAAGCTCATTTAACACTAAACATGAAACTGCTTCAGACACTCCATAAATAGGGAGTACATATTGTATTTAGCTACTTGTTGAGGATCTTAAACTGTATGTTGTAATGTTTGAAATTATTTTTTTTTTTTGAAACGTTGCAAAGGTCCATCATTTAATGAAAATTAATTAGGCCTTGATGTTTATAGGAGCAGACTGTAAGGGAGTCATTACTGTCATTATGAACAAGAAAGCCATGCTTCTCTAGAAGAATAGAAAGAATATATATATATATATCCTTATTATAATCGAGCTCACCTGCACACACACACACACACACACTCACACACACACACACAGCTATTGAATTTGGTCTATAAAGATGTCTATAAAATATTTCTTAAGAAAAAGAATAACTCTTTATATAGATACATAATTTTTATTGTAAGAGTGACTAAACAAAAAATCCTGTACTTAGACTCGGTTTAATGTGTGGTGTGTAGCGTTAATACACACGATTGTTAGTTAACTTTGTTCCTGTCGTCATCACTGAATCTGCAAGACCAACGAAAGAACGACTTATTTAAGACGAGTATGAACTTTAAAAATGTATCCAAAATATTTAACTTAATGATTCTTAATACAGCTTTTGTTTTTAACATTCCTGGGATTTTAGTGCTTCTTTTTTTTTTCCAAATGGAATTTTGTTGTCCTTAGTCAATCAAGTTTTGTGTTTTTTTTTTTCTTTAGGCAAAATGACATTAATTTTTAAGGGTTATTTCTTTCCATATACTATTAAGGTACTCTTCAGCAGCTATCTGTAGCTGCTGATAAGTTTGGATAGAGTATATAATTTACTTGGCTTGAATTATTGATTAGCTGATTGAGCCACCCTTAGCTGCATTTGTTCTCAAGAAGCATTGAGACCAAGCCCTTATCCAGGTAGTTCTGACAATGTTGAACATATAAAGCATGTAGATACTGAGTGTAGATTCTTAGTGAAACTCAGAGGAGAAAAAAAAATGTTTATCAATCAAATTTTGAAATGATTATCTGATATATGTGTCTAATTTTATTCCACTGCTATAATATAAATCTTTATGGTATCTTATTTGCCCCACTGAGAATCTTTTTGCATTATTTAATCTTATATAATAAAGAGCTAATATGATAATTAGACTGAACAGCAGAACGACCCTCGGAATGACTTCCGGACAAGGCCAGGGCTGTGAGGGCTGAGTCCCTTGCACGAATTTCATGCACCTGGCTTCTAATATTATTATAATAGAGCTCACAATCATTTTGTTCACCTTTTATTCTTTAATAATAATTCAGTGAATTAAATTTTTTTAAAAAATTATAATAGATTAACAGTATTATCATTGTCAAACCAGTACTTTAGATTTGAAGGGAAAAAAAGTGTTATAGAGCAGTTGAATTAGTATTTTGTTGCAGCAGTTGAAACCTAGTGCCTGCAAAATTTTGTCTTTTTCAGTTTTATATTTTGCCAGAGAGGAGTCTTTGTGAAATCACTGTGCATTTCATTTTCCCCAGAAATGAAGAGATTTGAAATTACAGTGAGATAAGTTGTGTATTTGGGTTAAAACCCAACTCTGATTTCTTTCCAGTGAACTTCATGCTGCAGACACAGCTCCCCGCCCACCTTCAGGCTTGGGAAATTGGATTCCTTTCCAGGTCCCTCTGTAGACTTTAGGTCATACTGAAGATGGTTTAGGTGTTTCTGGTTCAAACCAGATCGAGCACCTAGACTATTGAGAAACTCATCAGATTCTCAATCATCTTCAAGAAGGGACTTCCTTGGTTTGAGTCAAACTCTAGGTTTTATTCTTAGGAATGCCATCCCTGGTTAAGCCCAGACTAGCCTCAGGAATCACCCAGGCTCTTGGCTGGCTCTGCCGAGGTGAGGTCCATCTTTGCACACCTGTCCCTGGCACTGCAGGAGGGGCAGCCATGCTGGGAGCTGCTTGTCATTGGGGTAGTAGGCTCTGGCCCAGACCTGTTTAATGATACTCAATAGTATATTCTCACAGCTTTAACTGCTAATTTAAGAAGCAAGATTACCTTGCACTTGATAATGTTTCACAGTTTTCTCAGCACCTTGATGTATATTAATTCACTGAATCCTCAGGCCAACCTTTCCGTAGGAGAAAAATGATAAAAAACGAGTCTAAGGTTCAGTTAGAGTTTTCCAATCCCCTGTGAATTCTGTTGCTCTTCCCTCTACCTCAGCCCCACCTGCTCAAAAATATAAACGAATGTGACAGAAAGGGGAAAAATAAACTTGGGGACTTTTTCTATTTGCCATAGAAGATAGGAAGTTTTATTGTTAGATTAGGAAGATGCACAAGAATGTCATCTGGATAGAAAATACTGAATGTTTGAAAGATGATCCCTGTGTATTTCTGAGATTGGGGAGAACATTGCCCCCTTCCCCCTTTTCATTTTTTTTTTTTTAATTATTGTTGATAGTATTACAGATGTCTCCAATTTTATCTCCCCTTTATCTCCTGTCTATCCATGGGCTATGCATATATGTATATAAGTTCTTTGGTTTCTCTCTCCTTGTACCCCCACCCCCACAAAGAATATTGCCCCTTAATTTTGGTTGTATGGAAATATCTGAAAGAACCCAACCCCTCCAAAAACTCCTTGGTCTTAAAGGCTATTTTTCTGAATCTACTTAGTAGATTGAGTTTAAACCAGATGAGTTTATTAAAGGGGTTTTAATAATAATAATTAATGATTATTTTGTGGAAATTGGTTCCAAGGAACAGGTCAGTTTTAAGTTGATTTCTGTGTAGGTGGGTGCTTTCTCTAGTTTTATTTGTATGTTTTAATATGTGTGACTTTTGGGGGTAAATTAGCAATTTCTGTTTTCATAGGGACTGTTTGAAGGCCTATACTTACCAAATTATAACTTTTATATTAGTTATATAATTTCCTCCCTTTATTTTTTACAGTTCCTTGGTAATTCTTTAGTTTCCTCTAAAGGAAGGTGTGATATTTTATGCTTTAGAAAACATATGAAGTTCATGTAAGTTCATATATCATTGATTTAACCTGGTAGCTGCACCCTCTGTCTCTTTATAACAACTTCTTCTATAATATAATGAAACAGGTCTAGTTATGGGCAGGAGCTTAATACATGATTAAAGTTTTATTTGTTATAAATTCCTTGACCAACATTATTTTAAGATCTTATTTATATGCTCGTAAAATGTTTCCCATTAACAGTCATCTTTGGAAAGTTAGAGGACTTGGAAAACAATATTGTTTCTACAACCATAACCCTCTAGAGTCTAGACAGTGTTAATATATAAAAGTTTGATAATATGGACTACATTCCATCACCAATAAGAATGCCTTAAATAGTGCATTTCTTGCATAACGTTACCAAGAAAAGAAAAATTATGGTTGATATGCCTTGAAAAATAAATTCAGACTGGCTTTGTAAAATGAATGATTGTCATTTACTACTAAAAAAATAGATATTAATAAACTAGACTTAGCAAAGGGCCACCAAAATCCAGGTCCAGCATGCCTTCAAAAATAAGAATTTTTCCAAATAAAGAAGTTGCATGGTTTCTAAGATAAGCATTGGCATCAGACCGAGTTCAGTTTAGCTCTCAGCCTTGCCTGTGGACAAATGACTTAAATGTCTTTGTTTTAAGAGCACTTTCTCAACTTTTAAATGGGGCAGTAATCGTACCTACTCAGGGCTATTGTGCATGTTAGAGTTAATGTGTGTTAACACTATGCCCTGCACATAATAAGCAACTAATAAATGTTAGTGTTTATTTTCATAATTATTAGTAAAACTACATCAGACTTTATGTGTGTGCTCCTGCCCCAATGAAGACCCCGGTAGAGTCCATTGAGTGCACTGTGCATGTAATCTGTAGTACATATGTCGCGTGTAGCATTCATTTTGTAGTATGACTTGATGCATCCAGCAATACAGAAGGAAACAAAAATAGAATTTGATGGCATGATTTTCGTGAAATAAAAGGCAGACCTTAGGGCTGTGCCCTATCCCCACAAGGGCAGGCAGGTATGTGGCAGAAGCTTCAGTTCTTATTGCTTCCCGGCGCCGCCGTAATGATGGAGTAGCCCACCATACCTGGATAAAAGCTGCTCAGAAAGGCAACTGCATTTATTTCGCCTCCTGTGCTATTTGCAGAGAAGAGCCCAAGAGTAGTTTGTTTTGCCTGGAATGAGCTCCTTGATGAATTTTAATGTGTGATATAATATTAAAAGCTAAACCAGGATTAAAGAAGATTTTTTCTGTACTAAGCTAAAATAGTACTTAGTCGAGTGAGGTATAAAAGATTTTTGTTTCCATTTTTACCTGGGGAAAAATTCAGCCCTCATATTTTTTGAAAAGCCATCCAAGTCAGTTCGCCTTAAGCAATCGCTTGTGTTTAGGAAAAAATGTGATCCCAGAATGGTAATAGCTTTTCTATGATAAGATGTATATCTAAGCCAACAAGATGATAAAGAACTTTCCTAAATCTTTTTAAAATGAGTAATGCGGTTTTTATATACTTTTAAAAGTTGTTGCTCTCACTTTCTTTTCTTTTCTTTTTAATGTTTCATGGGCACTTATTTCCCACTTTTACTTTGTGTCTGCTACCAGGAAACCATTATTTGACTTTTCCCCCTATAATTTAAAAATCTTGCTTTTTTGATTCAAATTGTAATGGCTGTAAAAAAAAAAATATTAAACCAAAGAAATTTTTAGAGACAAAAATCACAATGTTGAGGCAAATGATTAGAACCTACCTGCAGGATAAATTCTTAAACAGCTTTTTTTTTTTTTTTTTTTTTTTTTTTTTTTTTTTTTTTTTAACAAAAGAATACAAATTATTTTTAAAAACATGAAACACCATGTTTCCAAAGACTGCTCTCTCGCAGCAATTGCTAAGCAGATTGCTACCAGAGAACTACTTCTTCCAATGCCCTGGACTTCGCACCCCCATTTCCATACCATCCAATCTCCAAAGCGCTTGAAATGGCTTTTCTTTTCTCTTTCATTTAAGCGGCGAGAAAAATAGGTATTAAAAGGGACCCCATAGGGTGATCAACTCTATTCTTTCGCCTCAAAGCAGGACCACCCCAGAGCAAAGTTGTGAATCTCACCAAAGTGACTTTGTAGGCAATTTATGGTAATTCGTTAACTCTTCTGGCTCCTAAAGTGGTGTTTAGCAGATTATTGCTTCAAAGCCCCGTGTATGTGCTGAGTGGCCTCCAGTCCTTCATATACCTCTGTGAGTGCCCTTGCATAGTAGAGTCACAGAGCTGCAAGGGGGACCCTGCAGATCTGGCCTCCACCCCTGTCTCCAGTTCACAGGGCAGGAGAGGCAAATGAGGCCCAGCCAGCTAGACACCTGTCCTGCCTCACCGTCCGTGTCCTCACTCCGGGCCTGTGGTCCACCGGGTTCACAGCTTTCAGTGCTTAGGCAGCGTCAAGGTGGAAGAGTCTACCTGTCTCTCTATGGCAAGCCAGATGTGAGGTATTTTGCTAACTGGCTAGATATCCAAAGGATTCAGAAGGTACCTTTAAAAGGGGCTCATATTGCCCTGGCTGATTTTGCTCCATGGATAGAGCGTAGGCCTGTAGACTGAAGGGTGCTGGGTTCGATTCTGGTCCAGAGCAAGTGCTCAGGTTGCAGGCTCAATCCCCAGTAGGGGGTGTGCAAGAGGCAGCCAATCAATGATTCTCTCTCATCATTGATGTTTCTGGGTCTGTCTTCCTCTCCCTTCCTTGATGAAATATATATATACATATATACATACATATACACACACACACACACACACACACACACATACATATATATATATATATATATATATATATATTTTTTTTTTTTTTAAAGGGGCCCATATTTACTCACTACGAGCAGAGAATTGAATAGCCTAGGATAACCTTTGTCCCACTTTTGATGCCAAATATTTTGGGACAGTGTGAAATAAACCTGGAAGACTTGCAGCCAAAAGAACTCCTTCGTTTATTCTAAAATGCATTTCATTTCCTAGTGTTTATAGCATATATGAGAAATGGTCCAAGATGCTAAATTTCTCTGGAGAACAAAAACCTGGGTTCTGTAAAGGACTCTAAGAAATCGGGCCCTTCATGAATCACGTTGCCAGGAAAAACATGGTCCTGCATCCTTAGTAACTTTCTCATTTAGATTTTTAATCAGTAAGAAGGAAAAAAAAGGGGGGGTTGCCAGTTACTTGCTTCATATGTAAATTTACCAGAGTGGTCAACATAACGGCGTAATAAAAAAAATTAAATTTGCAGTTTTAAAGATTGATAATAGTATTAATACATGTTGAGGGTGTGATTTCATTTCCCCCAGAAAAATCAGTGGCATTTTTTTTTCTGCTGGCACCTGTTTATCATTATTTCTAACAGCACTCCTGCTCATCTTCCATTCAGGATTATACATTTTGGATATTTTTTTTAAGCCACTGATTATATAGTTTGTGTAACTCGCAGCAGTGTTCCGTTAAATATTGTGGAACATTTTCTTATAGTCTGGTTCCACAAGTCAAAAAGAAACAATCCCAGACAGGGGTGCCAGGAAAAGATGGAATAATTGCCCAGAACAGCTTGGACAGGCACGTGTAAAACGCAACCAGCCTTTCTGATAATTAAGCAAGGCACTCTACCTGTTTCATGGATGGATAGAAGATTTAAATACGCAGCTCTGCAAATGGCTTTGTTATGGGAAATTTTTTAAATGAAACACGAGGAAAGAGTATATATATATAAAAAAAGAGCCTAACATTAAAAAAAGGCCATCGTATATAATAACTATTAGTGATGCAATTGTCTATCAGGCAACAAGCACCCAGTGAAGATATAGCACTGTGCATGATGACTTTAATTGTGAATTTCCTTTGTTAGAATTGCAACGGGAGGTAATTGGGAAACAATTAGTTTAGGGTTTTCAAGTCTTTGGAACTATTTAGCTTTCCAGAAAACTTACTTTATGGCATTATAATTCCTTGTTGTCGGCTGGCAGTGGCTGTCATATTATAGAGGCAATCACCTGTGACAGTGTGACTTCCTCAGCTTAAGCAATCCGATCTCAGGGTAATAACTGAAGCTGAATGACTGCACTGCTGAGCATCGTGATCATCGAAAGGAGCGGCAGTGTCTAGCTGGGATGCTGAGCCTGGGAAGCTTCAAGACAGTTTGACCGATGAGAAATGACAGTCAATGCTCACAATGTTTTGTAGGTGAAAACAGCGACCATTGCCACTGAGAGGAATGGGAAGCCAGAGAACAATACCATGAACATTAATGCTTCCATTTATGATGAGATTCAGCAGGAAATGAAGCGCGCTAAAGTGTCCCAAGCATTGTTTGCGAAGGTCGCCGCGACCAAGAGCCAGGTAGGAAGAGCCTCGATTAGGCATGGAGAACGTTTATCTGTCTTCCAGGATGTCTGTTTTCTGTATGCATGTGCATCACTGAGAGGCCACGGTCTCCAGGATTACGTACCGAACTCTCTGGTGAGACCAGAATGTTCAGATTCTGATGCTGGACACTTTGGTTTTATTTCCTTCAATAGCCACCCTCCAGACCTAGGACTTCTTCATAAATCCCTGAGTCAGTTTATAGTTGTTTTCAGAAGAAGAGTAAAACTTAACGAATAGGAAGTTTTTCAGTCTGGTCCATTGTGGTGGAACAAATAACTTGAATTACTGTTGTTTCATCATTACTTAAATGACCTTGATTTCTATCCTAAAATACTAGAAACATTATGGTTTCTTCTGTTCCAGCTCTGGCACCTATAAATCGTAAGTGTACTTATTAAAACAAATTGACACACACACACATATGTATATCTTCGCATATGAATGATTTGTTTTATATAGCTATGACACACAAATGGAATTATAATTAGAAAAATTGTCCCACCTCTGATCAATTATAAGGAGAATGGAATTGGAGGAGTTACAAATTCCTACAAAACAAGATAGAAAGCATAACAAAACAATGCAGTTCTTCATCAGTGTTATCGCTGTATATTGATAATTTATGTTCATCGAAAGCCGAGTCATCTATATGCAGGAACTCACAATTATCTATAAGCCCTTGTTCAAAGCAAGAATACATCTTACAAGACCCAAAGAATACTACACTGTCTTTGCTTTTGATAATGCTACCAAGGGGAGAATTTAGAGGCAGGGGCTCAGGTAAGATTTCGACAACTATTGAAATTGTAAACAAGTGTATTTGTATTATTGTTAATGAACCCTCCTTTATAATACACTGTGGTTAACTTTGATAAGAATATACAGAGAGTGTTTACAGTAGACTACTTTTCTGAGCTTTTCCCGCAGTTTCACTCTGTCAGCATTAATAGTGGGCCTAGATGGGAGTTTTGCTTTAGAAAACGTTGTTCTTGTTTAAGTTATAGGCTGGATGAAATACTTAAGGGATATCTTGGAAATGTTATAGAAAAATGATTAAGCTCAAGCTGTGGACTGTAAAAATTATAGCTTTATAGGCCACATGCCTGCCTACCCTTCAATCACTGTCAAAGTGATAATTTCTACAATAATATGTTTCTTTTATTGTGAGATTCTAAACATCAAGTGCTGTTTAAACATTAAACGGAATTGTTTATGTTAGTGCCGTACTCAGCGTGTCATACATCAGGCCACCGTAATCTCTCATGGAATGTAAAAATCTGTCATGAATCATGGCTTGTATATCGGAAATTACTGTAATTTTGATTGGAAATTACAGGGCTCTTGAAATGTTTCTAATTATGATAGAATGTGAGAGCCGCTGCAAACCTGTGTGCGTCTTCAGATGTCTTCATTTACATGCCAAGACTATGCATTAAGGGGAAGTGTCCTGTTCTCACTTTACCCCTCACCCACCCACCCTGCGCATTCTTGTTTGGGCTGTTAGGCTAAATCGTGATGAGGATCTCCTATTTAGATGTATGTAATCTTGCTTTGCTCTCATACTACATCTTTTCTGACCTAGCCAATTACATTATCAAGGGCAACGGACTTAAGTTCCTACAAGGCCAAATACTTTCCCTAAATCTCCAAAATAGACAAACAGAGTAACTAGACGTGTATTCCTGTCAGGCTTAAAACAAAGAAAAATGAATTTCAAAGCTTTTTTGTTGTTGACAGTATTACACATACCTCCCACCCCACCCCCTCCCTTTATCTCCTCTCCCTCAGGCCTTCACTACCCTATTGCTCATGACCATAGGTTGTGCATATAAGTATATACGTTCTTTGGTTTAAAACTTTTTTATATCTTTCACTTACTTGCTTGCTTATCATAGGTCATTTGATTTATCTTGTCCCCCCCTTTCCCATTTTTTTTTCTAACTAGAGCAGCAATTTTGAACCCTTTTCGTTTCATAGCACACACAAACTAATTACTAAAATTCTGCTGCACAGCAAAAAACATATTTGTTGTCAATCTGACAAAAAAAAAAGGTATACTTTTGATTGATTTATAGAAAATAATAATAGTGATTATAGTTTGCTCAAAAGTGCCCATCCTTGTATATTAGGATTTTTTGGTACCATGAATTAACCAATTGGAAGCAACCTTATTATGATAGAACTCTTATTTATTATTTGACCTATATATTTATGGTTCAAGACAGGGCGTTCACACTGGACAGCTATTGTTGTTTTGGCTATTCTCATTGTGGGTTTTTGTTGTTGTTGTTGTTGTTATCTTTTTGACAATCTAAGTGAAAATAGGTCAGTGCCCCTGATTAAATAATCAGGTATTACATGTTTTAAAAATTCTTGTGGCACACAGATTGAAAACCATCTGACTATAGCACAGCCCCTTAATGGTTAGCAGCCCCTTGCTTACTTTCGTTCTTTTCAATGTCATAAGTTCAATCCTCGCTGCCTGGGCTAAGTCACTGGTTTTGGATCTTTTCAGACAGTGGCGGCCATTGGTTGATAAGGGCAGGTGAGTGATGTCCGGGGGAGGTTTTAAATGTTCTTGCTCTTCGCAACCCTGTCCTGCAAAGCTCCCCAGGAGTCTCTTTCAGCCATGTCGCTTGGCAGCTTCTCTGAGTTTGCCAAGATGGTGTTTCCCGAACCCCCCAACGCTGTTAGCCCGTCTCTCACTCCTGCTTGGTAGAGAGTCCCAGGGCCCGTTGGTGGCAGTGGCATCACCACGGGAGTGAACCTGTTCACTCCATTCTCTCAGGTGCCTATTCCTAACGCCTAACTTACGGCACCTCCTGACAGAGCATCTCTGTGGTTTTCTCCTGGTTGTGTAGTTTGGTTGTCAGCACCACCCTGTTGATGAAAACAGGCGGAAAGATGGATGGCTTCTTAAAAAGAAGACGGTCCCCAAACAGTGTGGAACCCTGAGGGAGGAGATCGAACTTCACAAGGAGGGTGGTTGTCGGCTTCTGTTCTCCTACCATGATTTTATTTTTTGTGATGGGGACAGAAAAACGAGCAAACAAATTAAAAACAAAAACCAAAAAAACCTTCAACTCAGACTGACCCTTTTCATGGTCAGAATTCCATTTCTATTTACACCTTGGAGACATGTGGCAATGACTGTCAGAATGAGGCGGAGGCCCCGAACATGGGGTTGAGGGGGGGAGGGGACATGGATAAAGCAGGTGCACAGTGTCGTCGTGTGTTTCCCCTCCCCCCCCCCCCGGTCCAGCTCCACCTGCTGCTGTGTCTTCCCTGATTCCCCCTCCAGGTTGACTTAGCATCCACCACCTCTTTTCTGCGAAACCCCATCCAGTATTCTCTATGATCTGCATTTAATTCTGAGGAACCCTGTGAGCTAGCGTAGTGTTCCCATGTACACAGGACTACTGAACAGGAGCGCCGATCCCCAGTTCTCTGCACCTGTCCTACTGTTGTAGTCTCCCCCCAGGGCTCCAGCATCAGTACCGAAGTTAAACCCAGCCCCAGGAAAGCTGAATTCGGGATATTGGACTCGTGGATAGTGGGAATGTTGGGGGCTTTCCTGCCTTCGCTGACAGTCTTAGCAGCATGGGGCCGGAATGCACACTTTTTCATGCCCGATGGGGAAGCAGGGTCGGGGGGCAGGTGAGAGGACTCCGAGGAGGCTGTGGTCCAGGCTGTGTGGTTGATATTAATAATAGTGAGAAATTAGTTAACCTTTTGGAGCCCAAGAATCTGTTAACAAGAGGAGGAGGAGGTTACATGGTATGATGTATGCAGAAGAGCTTTAAAATGACACAGTGCTATACACAAATAGGAAATGCCTTCCAATGTGCTAAGCAAGAGGCTCAGAGACATTTTTATTCTCTCTCTCTTCACGTATTTCAAATATAAAAGATAAAGCGTTAGGTAGATACCCTGAATGACAGGGAGCACAATTATTTGGAAGTTACTGCAGTCCCAGAACGTTATGGATTCAGACACATCATAGTTGTGCTAGGCACTGACGGATGCACAAAGTATTTCCAGTCCAAGAAACCCACTCGGTGGATGCCACCATTTCCCATGTATTCTCTCTCCTCTTCGATGAGTAATAGAAATGAGATTGTTTTTACCTCTAATAGAAATGTCTGAATAAAATATGCGGGTGCAACCTGGAAGGTAGGCGATTTTTGTGCTTGGATAGGAAAGCTGGCTAATGCCAACTTTAAAAAGATGATATGCTTTAAACATAATGTGAATAGCTACAAATGAATACCCTTTATATTCTGGGTATTCAAATAAGCAGCAGATTTTTGTGTGGTGTGTGTGTGTGTGTGTGTGTGTTTTCAAGTGAATCATATTGGAATTCTATCAAACATTTAGTCTGATAACGTTCAAATAATTATAAGAGCAGAATTCGCTAATTTTACTGTTCAAAAAAAAAATAGTGATTTGGGTAATAACCATTACTGTATCAAGGTTCAGTTACTGTTCATTGGTTATAGTGTTTTCATATGGGAGATGGAAATGGAATTTCTCCCTTAATGGTGGCAGATGTTGGAATCTAATTTTATTCCCTGGCAAAGCCCCCCGAGAGCTCTGAGGCTTAAGGTGTGTGTCCAGCAAGGGGACATCAGCAGCACCGTAGGTCTTGCCTTGTACATCGACTTGTTACATTGATTTCCACGTGTGCGGAGGTGGAGTTTACAGAAGCAGTAACACAGTAAGAGGGAGGGGCTGTCACTGAGGGGCATGCATCGCCACTTGTGTTTAGAAAATGATTTCTCTCCTTTATTGAGCAGAGCATTTCTTTTCAGGGAAAGCAACTAGATGATGAAAATTCTATTGGACTGAGCATGCTTTCAATATAATCTTCTGCCTTCTCTGCCTATCAGTCCCGGAGAGTTAGAGGACTCAGGCTGGTTGATAGGGACAGGTTTGAACACCAAAACAAGAGGATCTCTTCCTCTGGGAAAAAG